TGCACCCATTTGTCTTCAGCGATCGTATCAGAGAGTGGGTTCCCTATGTTCTGTAGGGTCACTTAGTCAGAATTCACTGTTTGGCAGTGAATATCGTCTATGTGGTATTTCTGTAGCTTGCTGAAAACTGGGATGGAAAAGGGGTACTAAAAGCCTTTTTTTTTCTTTTTAGAATAAAAATATACCATCATTGTTTTTGAGCAGAGTACACATCTGTGCAACAGTTTCTACATTGTACCATTCAGTGGCATTGATTACACTATTTGATTTGTGTACCTCTTCTCTGTTGTTCCTCCATTGACATAAACACATTACTCCCGAAGGTAGCTAATAGTTGTTGTGGGCTGGGTCCCATTTATTGTCATTGTTGGGTATTGTCAAGTCAATTCTGACTCATACAACAAAACAAAATACTGCCCGGTTCTGCACCATCCTCACCATGGTGGTACTGTTTGAGCCCCTTGTGCCAGTCACTGGGTCGATTCCATTTCATCAAGGATTTTCCTGGTTTTTGCTGACCCTCTACTTTACAATGACATCCTTTGCCAAGGATTGATATCTCCTGATAAGTCCAAAGTAGATAAGATGAGCATCGTCCCTTCTGAGGAGCATTCTGGCTGCACTTCTTCTGACAGCCCAGTGTTCTTTACCAACACAGTTCAAAGGCATCAGTTCCTTTTGGTTCTCCTTATTCATTGTCTAGTTTTCACATGCCATCTGAGGTAGTTCAAATGAACATGGCTTGAGTCAGGCCACCTTAATACTCAAGGTGACATCTTTGCTCTTTAACATTTTAAAGAGGTCTTGTGCAGCAGGGTTCCCCAACACACTAGAGCATTGTGTGTGGACCTCCAAGTGAAATGAAGTCCTTGACAACTCTCATCTTTGCTTCGTTTATCTTGGTGGCTGTTGGCCCAATAGTGGGGGTTGGGTTTTTTTTTTCCTAGGGTTGTAGTCCATTCTGAAGGCTGCAATCCTTTCAGCAAGTGCTACATCTGCATATCACAAGTTTGTTATTAAGTTTTCTTCCATTCCAATGCAGCGTTCTTCCTATTGTGGTCCATTTTTTTTATTACTTGCTGAGTATCCAGATAAAATAAG